CCTATTGTTGTTATAACTGCTCGCCCTTTCCTTTGCTGTTCTCTTTAATTCAATCTCCTGTTGGTAAATATTTCACTTCCGATTAGTGCTACATACTACTTATCTGTCAACATAAGTAGCATACACTACAGTGGTAGTAGTAGTAGTAGTAGTAGTAATAGTGGTAATTAATCATTATAAACGAACGACTTTTTTGAACTTGACATTTAGTGATAATAATCAATCAGTTTTAACGTAGAACCTGATCCTTGTGTACATCGGTTGAAGTTCCCATGTCGCAGCAACATGGATAGATGGAATTTTCAGACCAAATCCCGGAGTGGTTGATGTAGTACCAGTATTGTCGGCAATACAAAAGATTAGGGATCAAAGGTACGTTTCAAGAAATGTAAATTGGTGAAATAAAAACCGAGACAATTATGAAGAATTCAGAAGCTTAGATTTCGGGGGGAAGAAAATGAATGGATCCATCTACGCCATTGCAAATGATTTTGAGCTATGTCTCTTAAAGTTTGGAAACTTTTTTGTGGAGTTTTGTCCTCTGAACTGGATGGTTAACATTATATCATAGTCATGTCATAGTCAAAGTCTAATAAGAATGAAAACAACAGATAAAAGTGAGATAGGAGTTTGTCTAGTTGATAACAATAGCGAAGATAGAGAAAATGAATAAGCATGAGTCAAAGGAACAATCTACAAATTGAATAACGAAGTGTTAAGAGTATATCAAACTGAGGGGTCGGATATACTCCTGAGCACAAATATCAGACTTGGAACGATGGATTATCAGTACTCTCTCTATGTACAAGTTTTTTTTCTAGCTAGTATTTAGTTATTCGACTGCATTCTTGTATACTCAATATTTCATCATAACAATTGAATTACCGTTGAACTGTTGTCATGCCTACTAATATATTATTGTGTCACATCAATCATACTGTTTTGGGGATTATAGTTGAAATCAACAGATGAGCAGGATTGCGTAATCACAATTAGATTGTTCAGTGTTATTCCTTTACCATATTGGACAATCCACCAGTGAACATGTGTGTGTGTGTGTTGACCTTAATTCAATCATCATCTAATGCATAATTGCTTGTTTTTATGGTTTTTTTCTTGATAATATTAAGGTCGTAATAAATTATAATTTTACTTCATCAATATGAACGTTTCTGTTTGATGACCTCAAGTAAAGTAGTAATGGTGGTGGTCATGTTCAGTGGTGATGATGACCTAATATCAAATCCAACTTCTTCTTTAGCCACTGGCCTCGTTTAAAATGAGGAGAGATATTTCATAATTCTCGTATTTGTCACTTCCATTTGTTATTGTTGGCTTATGAAGAACGAGAAAAGGGTAATAATGAAAGGGATTGATTTTTTTACGCATGGCATGTAAATTAATATCAATCTTAATGATATTAGTTGATTTCTTCCCCACCCTTCTCTACAAACACTGACAAACAGCAAACAAATCTTCTACATGAAGAATAAATTGTCTAGAGGCATGAATAATTCATCATCGTATAAGATAAATGCAAATCTATGTATAAATATATAATTTGTGTGCATGAAATCATTCTTTTACCAAGGATTTGTTCATTATTATTACTATCACTACTACTAACATTGACCTTATCCACTCATGTGTATTTATATATAATCAGTGCGACAGAGGAAAATCACATGCAAATGATTTTAATTGAAATAAAAAAAATCAAAGAACAACTTTTTTGATTGTCCAGTTTTTTTGTGTGGTTAATTATGTATTTGCATATTATTGATTACGGCACTAATAGTTAGAGTTTCGAGAAAGATATAATTTTCAGCACTGATTTATTAAACTGCATATGTCAATTACTCTTGCGTTTGCATGTTATTCACATCAACTATACACATATATACGTATATGTAGGTCGCTGATAACCAGATGGCGTTTAGAGCGAATTGTATTCTGTTCGAGTTCTGGATTGAGGGTCAAGTCTGGGCTTCGAGTAAATCCACATGACAAGCCCCAAGTAAGATGAGGTGCTCATCTTAGATCTCCACAATTAGGCACATCCTATCTGTTCTATAAGCGAATCACAGTTTCTCATTAGAGGTGTTAGTTAATCGGGAAATGTAATTCATCAATGACATTGAATAGTAATCATATTCTGTCATAAACTGTATCTGCTGCTGTGAGTGTTGACCTACTGGATTCTGACTTGTGAATTATTTTTATTGAATGATAGCAAAGATTCATATATATCATTCACAAATTCCTATAAGCTTTTCCCGAGTTCTTCCCGAATTTCATATCAAACAAATAATTTTTGTCAAAACCACTAATATACAAATAAGAATATGGAAGTGAAATTGTCTATTTCATGGATGATGACTCGTCATTAGTGCCTTGACTAAGTTATTGAACATTCCATAACATGCGTATCAGGCTAATCTATAATATTATATATATATATATATATATATAATATATATATATATATATATAGTAATCGTAACAAATGGTTCGATTTCATGAATATAAATCCTTCGAATTCAAATGACTGAATCCGTCCCTAATTCACTACTAATATCATCCTTAAGTTAATAGAACAGCTCAAGTAGAACTTCCTTTCGATTACTTGTAAACATTTAGTGTAGTCTAATCATTAGTATAGGGAATCGTGAAGATTATTGAATATTTTCGTTCATATCACTAATTGACCTTAATTGGAAAACCAAAAACAGTCCTTTTGCTCTTGGACCATTGAGTCGGCATTCAATGGTGTACATGTTTAACCTAAATCAATTCATTATATTCCCTAACCATCTTTAATGCTGTTGGTGGTGGATGGTTAATTCATCAACTACTCACAACTCATTAGAGCTTCAGGAATCACCATTCGAAATTAATCACCTGTGATTATATAATTTATTATTTATTTATTTATTTATTTATTATTCAGTATTATATTTTTGGTACAATACAGCACAAAGTATTTCAACAAGTTTTCGTTTCTTATTTCTTGATCGATCTCGACGATAAATATAGGGTGATCTCCAGTTCAGGAACCGACATATGAATAATGTTCATTATTTTCGATGTATATTGCTAGCAACCACAATTTCTCTGATTGGGCTTTTTTGTAAATTGTACAGCGAAAGGTCGTAAACTTTTCATTAACGCGCCTGAATAGTTTATGCGATTAATAGACATAAAGATGCGTTAAAACAAACGGAAAAACAGATAACTTGTTGAAATATCTAGATGACAGGAACAGGTAGCCCAGATATTCAAGCAGGTCGCTAATAATGACCAGCTTCATTGTGATCATCAATATGAGGAAGTTAAACTAGTAGTATTTTTATGACAAGTTAAAATATCTGATAGAAATAGACACCAAGAACATATGTACCGATAACAATAATGATAAACATAACAATAATTTTACTGATGATGATAATAATTGAGAAATTTGTAAACATATTCTTTAAGAAGAAAACATGTTTCAACTTAAAGCAATATTAATGTTAATGTTTATTTATTTATTTGTTTACTTTGTTATTGCTATATATATATTTGTGTGTTTGTCTTCGTTTTGTTAACGTCAAATCATGTTGACTCCTTTGTTTTGTTTTCTTATTTTCTTGTTTAATAACAAGAATCAGAAGTGATTCTCAAATTGTGACAATCTACTTTTTTTTCTTCAAGTACAAAACTGTCTCCTATTGTCTAGCGAGTTGACTAATACTAATGCTTTGTTTGATTGTCTAATTGCTAATATATGTATATACATATATAAGTGTGTGTTTGTTTGTACTTGTTTACATAGTATGCACATATAGGTGGGTAAGTAGTTTGTTATTTGCATACAGGATGGTTGTACGTGACCACATTTTCGATTTTGTAAATAAACATATTTATATCGAAGTGAACAGATTTTTTTTCTGAAAAAAACATATTTATTCCTTAAGTTGTGATATGATTATTAATTGGATTGTTTATATATGTATTTAAATGAGTTGACAATTATCATCTATTCACATAATTATGTCTATTATAACAGTGTTTATTATGCACAAAATCCAGTCAGCATAGTAATGCGAAAGAAGCAGCAAACTGATGATAATCTGTATAGTTTAATATTCGTAAACAGTAAAGTTATTATTAGTGCATGTATTTGTGGCAAGTGATTTTTGTACGTTGAAACGAACTTATGATGTGTTATGGTTTAAATATGAATATATTGTCACTACAAATCTCTAAACACATTCAGGATTATACCCTTCAAATGAACAACATTCACTTAATCCGGTCGAAGCATTTCCTGAGTAGGATGAGACAATCGAATGAACAACTTTGAAGTTAGGTACAGGATACTAAACAAAGAGGGTAAATTGATTGGTGAGTTAATGGATCTCCGTCGACTGAACTGATTAAGATATGTATCATTTATACCCAACAAACACTTACTTCGATGCACGATGTTACTGATATAAGGTTAGTTCGGAAGAAAACTAGCGGCGGTCAAAACAAAACCGTCCACTTAGTTATTGATCGTTGGACTTGGTTATGTAAGTATATGTAAACCATCTGACCGGGGCCCTTGTGATTCGTTCATTCTTTGTCTTCTCTTAGATCTTGAATTGTAAAAGCTAAACTTTTTATCTGACGAATTCATTCTTTAATTATTGCCTACACCTAATTTTTCCTACCATTATTGATTACTTTTACTGCTCCCAACATTCTGGTATTTATCTTGGTGATATAATATTGTTGTGCTAATGTGGTGAGGCAACTCGAATCGATAAAGAATTGTGCCAGGTTCTGGGTTTGTGACTAACTGACTGATTCACTCACTGCTCACCATATCACACACACGAGTATAATCATTTGCAGAGAGATATCAGTGATTAAATAATAAAACATAAATTTTTACACAATCTGATTATTTAATTAACATTCCTATACATATACTTTTACATATATGTATATTACTTTTTTACCTATTTCAGCATACTTATCAAATGAAGTTGTTTTACAAACAGAACAGTCTGATGATCCTATTCAAAAGACTGCTGATTTTGATTCAACTGATATTGACTCAGAAGCGGAAAGACTATTGGTTATGTCGAAACCATCATCGTCCGATCAAGCACAAAGTTTATCAGTGAAGAATTCGCCCTCGGTACAAAAAGGTAAGATGTTTAACATAACATAATATTTGGAGAGAGAAATGTCTTATGTGTGGTGTGTAGCAGTTGCACCCATGTATGTTTGGTAAATGTGATAGTTGTCTTCTACTTCAAGATGTATGATCATATACTTACAGCTTTTTTTTGATGAATTGTTGCTTGTGTAAAGCAGTCGGCCGTCAACTAATGGTATTAAGTAAGTCACAGGTTGAAACCCCTCTCCATTTAACTTAATTTTGATAATCGGGTATTATTATTAACACTTTCATACATATAGTTTGCCTTAAACCCGAATATATAACCATGTATAAATAACTGATCACTGAGTAGTCACCAATGTCATGTTTGTCTAATCACTTAGTGCTAATCGAATTCAATCGATCAAGTTGCAGTGGGCCATTACATCTAATTAATTTGACATTGAGTGCACTATTTTGAGATATTATAGGATGGAAGTAGTTAACAAAAGACCCTCGACCTAAGCTTTATACTCTCTCACATTCGTGGTTACATTGCGATTTCATCGATAGAATTCGTTTAACACTAACTGACTAGACACACATGATTTAAATTACTACTCAGGAATTGACCGCTTTTAAAGATATCTTAATCTTACCGGGGATCAGGCGCAACCCGAATATCTTAATGGTAATGTCTCAAAATGTAAAACTGGATGATGACACGTATTTGAATCTCACAAGAATTATCAGTTCCCACATGATTTCATGTGTATGCCTTACTGAAGAGTGCTAACAGACACGAAACCTAGTCTCAAGGTTTTCTGTCTATTACCTAGCATAAGATCTGTCACTGGTTAATGGGCTAAAACTAGAAATCAGTACCAATGTGTATTCTAACTCACATAAATATTCTACGCAGGGATTTGGTAGTGGCTGGTTCTATGTCAAGCCCATATAGGCTATTCTAGAGTCTGGACAGACCAATCTATCCATTCTTCTCAAGCTACATTTTGACCTTGGCACTTATTATCTCCGTTTTTTATATGATCGTGTGTGTTATTTGCTTATCATATTCATTATGTATCTGCAACTTATTTTTGGTTTGACTATAAATATTGTGTCGAGGTAGATCAAAACTCCCCCAAATGCCCTGGTACGGCCGAGGGTGGGAAGAGTCAGCTCTCCCTCTCCAAATGCTCTCATATGGCTACGCGTATACAGCCACTGCCACGGAAGTTCTGCTCACTGCATTCTTACGGCCGGGGTGTTTTTTCGAAATCAAGAGAGCAAAAAGCGAATGTCCGGCTCTTTAACCGGGCTGGTGAATACGGAAGATCCACCTAGGTGAGTTGGAAAGCCCTGATTCCAAATCAATGGTACACATGGGCTCTAGGATCCTGAGCAAATAAATGGCGTACGAACCAATTATTAGTCACCGGCTACGATAGAACTGGGGCACATATGTATTCGGTACCCCCTTGTACCAATATTTATGTGTTCAAATAAATAAGTAATAAGATCCAAACGAGTTGGCTAATTCACCTTCTCCACGGCCGTCACTTCGTCTTGTCCCGCTTCTCTCTCTTCACTCCGTCTCTGTGACTATCTGTTCAGATCAATGATTGTATGAAATGTACGCAAAATCCATTCTTGTATTTGACTTGTTTAATTCCGTTATTCACTATCGCGATTTAAGTCGATGAAAAATATACTAGGGTTGGCGACATGTATATTTCGATGATAATGAGCATACGATTTAACTGGAGTCAGATATAGGGCCACTTAAGTTTACTTCCTGACCTCCATGAAGCTTTCTTATAACGATACAAATCCTTTTCTAATTGTTCATTCGTTGTGATATATACATTGAACATTTTATTGATTGATTATAACTGTGCGATTCCAACACAGATCCTATCAAGTTCTTCATTAGGGTTATACTTCTAGTGTTATTTTATATCATTGTAGAGGTACTTAGTGAAAATGTTATATGTTGTCTCAATTATTATTTTCTGTTATTTTTCGACTTATTTACAGATCTCGACATTGAGAAGCCATCATCATCAGTATCATTAGCCCAAGTTACATTGTCCACAGCGTCATCAATATCGTCTTCACCATTTGACACACCGATTAGTGCAACATTCAAATTGAGAGGATCAAATGTACCATATATCATCGCGATTATATGTTGTTGTTTAGGCTCATTTGCATTTGCATGCTTTTTTGCATTTATGATATTTCGATTGAAACGTTACCGAAGGAGACGTTTGAAAAAATTGCAGAAACAACAAAAGCTTCCACATACTTTAGATAAACAATCATCTATGCACCATCAACATTTACTTCTTACAACAGCTGGACAAAATCAAAATTCTTTGTCGTCTACACTGTCTACTCCTCCTTCTTGTTTATCATCATCTACATCCGCACCGACTTCTGTTCCTGCCTTAAACAATACATCATCATTCCATCAGTATAACCAGTTAAAATTGTCTAATGGGAATCATTATGCTACTGATATTCATAGTAATAACAATAATAGTAATAAGATGGTGCATTCCAATGTTGTCAGCCTCTTACAAACTCCAACAGCTATGGATATGCATAATAATTATAATCATTTGACTGGAGCTTTTTCTCAAGGTTACTCTGACATGTTGACTCATCATCATCCAACTGGAACACTTTGCACTCCATACTCAACTAATGGAATTGATCAAGGTAATCTGAGAACGATAATGAAGTTGTGGTTGTTTAGTTGTTAACTTTATCCCCATATGGGTTCAAGTTGTTTATACATTACTGTCATTGTCATACTTCTTGTTCAATTTACAATAGATAATGACGCACTGTGATTAGTTTGTCATTTGTTTTGTGACTGACTCATTTATTCTACTAATCGCGTGTTACTCTATTGTCACTGTTTTGATGCATTTTTTTAATGACTCATAATGACACATTCAACTAAATGATATTTTTGGGTTTATCTTAATCAGTCTTGATAGAAAAATGACTTTAGTCAGCTTCAAATCCTAGTTCCTTTTATGTGTCTAAGCCATTTCATTAGGATTTCCCTCCTCTATAGGGTGACATTATGAGTCATGTTTTCAGTGCTCAATAAACATGGCCTAGGTAAGTCAAGTAAGATATTCAGCCCATGTAAGAGCTTAATTTTCACTGAGGATTTTATTTCAAATCTTGACTTTCATACTGTTATTTGTATTTTTCATCTCATATATTGGTCTGTGCTACACTGACATAATCATTATAGACGGTTTTGGACGCCATCAGAGGCTTAATATAAACTACTATAATATTAAGGATTCATTCACTAAATGAATGGGTAAATGACTGAAAAGTACAGGATTAAAAGACGTGTTGAACATTGGTAATATTGCGGATAACCTTAACCTAAAAAGATTGCAAGCTGCTAAGATCGTTTACCCCTTTTTTCGCCGTAAGTAGTACATCATAGTACATCATGGTATTACAAGTTGGTTGGTTGCAATTCATATTGTCACGGTGAAGTACGCGATCTTCGTGGTTCTTTGTTATTGGCAAACACTGATTAACTTCCCTGATGGATTATTTTATTACTACCACTGCTACTATCATATCCCGTAAATGAAATGTTTCGACTTTATAAATGTGACAAACTTTTAAATTCTCGAGTGGCTCCCTCACATTTGGTAAATAGGTTGTAGAGATTATTATTATTATTATTATTATTATTATTATTATTATTATTATTATTATTATTATTATTAATCACATACCGGGAAGTAGCCTTACGATGATTTGATTTATAGTCATAAAATATACAAACTACAATTATTATGTAAAACGAAAAGACATGTTTCGGTATTTACATGTAAATCAGTTAGTTGCTTTCACTTCAAGTAATGAGAGTCATTTTAATGATAGGCATGCCAGCATTATTTGAATGTGGTTACTATGTGTTTGTTAAATGAATTCTGGTCTAAATTGTATTTGATACATTTTATCTTTCCGAGCTACATTCATCAATAATGAATCGTGATTCTCCCCCATGTTCTTTCTCTCTAAATATAGCAGAGATAGTTATATCTTGTACACTGTTACATTCTCAGTGAACATTTTTGACGTACGTAATAAACTCAATTTCACCGACCGAGTTTTACAGATAACTTGAAGGAGTTTTCTTCTGTTGTTGTCGTTTTTATTGTTCGTATTATCTCGTCTTGGTTTGTCTGCCTTTGTTGATTTATTAAGTATTTTGGCTCCATAATAAACCTGTCATGTGATTGGTTGTTTTCCTCTTTTCACTACATGGTTTATTACATCGTTTTATTATTATTATTATTATCATTGAATAACAAGTTAATTAAGAAGTAAATACACATTTTATTGTGAATATATATAAACCGGTAGCTTGATAGTGGTAATAGTAATTACCATAAGAGGTTCTTTTTTCATCTGGAAGATTGACTATAGACTGGTTGGAGGTTAAGGGTGGGGTATCTTTAATATGGTATGAAACCAAGATTACTTTAGTCTGGTTACTTGAAAATTCGTTTATCTTCACATAAATAAAATAAGTTTATTATTGAATGAATAAAGCATTCCCAGTTAAGTACATACACGTCTACTTATGTGTGTATACATGATCATAGAAACAAACGTGTTCATGTATTCTTTTTGAATTCTGTCTATGGGTTATTTTAATTCTGTCTAAATTATAATTTGGTTGCTTTACAAATCAGTAGCTTATTTTGCCTATTAGCAATTTAAGTGTCTCAATAAATATTTGCAATCATAAAAAATTCTACTGATAATGTGAGAAAATAATATCTTGATTCTGTTTACATGGGGGGTGGTGATGTTGCTAATAGTAGTAGTAGGTCAACTACTTAGTTATTTTATTTATTCTTGTATCCAAGATAATATTTATCAGTTAGTATGACAATTATAATTAGGATTGGGTTATTAACCAACAATCAGACAGACACTGAGAGAGAGATGGTGAGTCAGTGAGTTGTTGTAGTAGCAGTATTATTGATTCACAATTACCTGATGCGATTTTGAACTTAAGAATGCCCCAATGGCAGACAGAATAATGATAATACAATCATTAATGTTTCTCTTTCAACTGGGAAATAACAATTAAATTCAACATATGTTATTTAAGTAGTTTTCTTTGATTATTCTTAACTTATGCGTATTCTAAAGTTATTCCTGTGATACGACCTGGTGTGTGTATGTGTGTGTTGTACTGGATTGGCGTAGTATTTTTGTCGTTAGGGTAGTTGAATAATCCAAGATAATACAATAATGGGTGTTCTTGATTAATTGATAACATGTATACATCGGAATTACAATCTTTATTGTGCGAATGAATTTCGATTGTTAATAATAACTCCTGAAGAATACAGTTGTTTCTCCTTTGAGAAAGTGCTACGTGTCGTGATTTACGCTATTTACATTGTACAAGTTAATCAGTGGAATTCTATCATTACTGATGTCTAACATTATGAATCCTGTAATGTATATTAGGTCTGAATACTGTACAGTTAACGTAGTGCATTTTAAATCCAACCTGCAAGAAAGCACGGGTTTCATTCAAGTCGTAAAAAGGAATATTGGCAACCATGAAATCACAGCTTTGTATTTTGTCGGTTAACTTTAAACATTGTTTGCTAATTTTAGTGCTTTAGAGATTGTTAGATTACATACCGCGAACTGTCTTTGGTTAGACAACCATTTTAAACTAGAAGGCATTGGACAGTTGTTTTGTACTAGTATAGCAAATAAATGACTTTAGGAATATAAATTATTCGTTCGAAGGTTAAATATGCATTGCGAAGCTTGAAGGTCCTGGATTCCAATCACCGATGAGACTGTGGGTCCTGAACTGCTGAGGAGTCCCGTAATAGAAGCAAACAGATGTCTAGTGTTTTGCTAGTTGTCTAATCAAATCCACTCCGTAATGTGTTTTTTTTAAAGGAATATTGAGTTATTTTCTAAATTTCTTATATTATTTTAAACCACAAAATGTTGGTATTTTCTTTTTTAAAAACATACATTGTAGATGGTTTGCTAGCTTTTCAATTATTACAACATGGTCCTACGGTTGGATCGAATTTTTCTGCATTAAATGGTTTAACATTAGCTCGTCGTGGATTATCTGACAATAATAGTAATAATAACAATAGTCCTGGTGTTTTCACGGTACATCCAATGGTTACACTAGGGACAGATAATAAATTAATCGGTGTAAATTTACCACCGACAAGTTGTAATTTTGCACCTCAACTAAAAGGTAATCTACTCTGTTCACAAAACAGTAACAATAATGTCAACAACGGTGTAATGAGTACCAATTTTGTTGCCCCGCATTCATCGTTGCCCCCACCTCCTCCTCCACCAGATCAACCGTTACCACCTCTGCCGAATTTGTCATCGGATTTGAATAATGCAAACAATCGCCTATTGATTAATACATCATTGTCGCCTGTTTTCCCGTATGCTGCTACCGCAGCCGCTGTATCGTCATCGTTTGCCTCACAAGCATATCCAAATGAAAATAGCTTTATACTATCCATAGGTATGTTGTATATACTCATCGATATCTATCTAGCTATCCATCCATATATTTAGTTATGAGTGTTATATGCAATACTGTAATTTACTCTCCTCTTATTTACACGGAAAATTAATTATTGAGTTTGTAGAATACTGTGGAATAATTATGATTTTTATCATTATCATTACTAATAAATAAATTTTCTAGATGTGTATAACAGATATTCAGGTGGAAATTATCAACGGTTAAATGTTAAGCAGAGATGAGTAGTGGCTAACAGAGAAATCCAGGACGCTCACTTTGTCCTGTTTGGGACTCATCAACTGGATGTATCTGCTTTCCAGTATTGATGTTCATTCTGGTACTGGAACTCAGTACCATTCACTTCAAAAATCATCGAATTATCCGTTCAGCTACTGAGTCCAGATAGCCAATGTGTACAGTGGGGTGAATTTTAATTCATATATATTGGTTGGTGTTTAGAATTGCAATTGAATGAGCGTCAACTCTGTGATACAGATACATTAATCTGATAATTCCCGAACAGGACGAAATGCGTGTTTTGGATTGCATTCCTAGCTACCATCTATATCCTCTTAAAATGCTTGCGACCGAATTGGAATATCGGAGCAATCCTAACTAGATGCATGTATATGAAAAAAGAGATTGATCAATTTCTGTCGTAAACATCAATGAGAAGATCCAAGTCACCAGCACATACGAATTCAATGTTAGAGTAAATATTTTTTTCTAAATCATAAGAAACCATTTTTGTTTTTAATCCAACTTCTTGTATCATTTACTTATTTGGATCACGTGACAAAAAAGCTCACTAATGAAGCGTCCACTTAATGCCTATCAAACCAATGACCTTCACTTGACTAACAACACAACTAATCGTCAACAACGACGACTGAATATCATAACTCCTATTGGTCTCCACAACTCCTATCATCGCCGGTCAACTAAAAGACGAGAATACCAAGCTGATCTACTTTTAATTATTGTATAATATTGTTATTTTTACTCAGAAACTCATGAATATATGAATCGATCACGCGCCTTACAACTTAATAAAAGTAGGAAAACATAATTCCCTATATTAAGTAGATGGTGGTCATATGTAATGCAAAACTGAATAGTAATAAGTGAATTATTAACAATAATGTACAAACGGTAAAACCTAGCACAATGGTTAATAAATGAATACTTACAATAAAAGCCATATAATAATACTATAAATTAACTAAATATTTAAGTAATACACAATAAGCATATTTATGATAATTTTCCTCGGAATAGTTCTAAACGTCTCATCTCTTCCAATTATTCGTCTTGATCTAACTATTCACACCTATTCATGATGATAATAATAGTCATAACAATACGCTAGCGTTGTAACAGTTGGAAAAGTAAAATAAGGTCATAAGGATAGAAACAATAATCGAGATGAACATTCTTTATTTATGATGGGTAGGGGAGTGAAAACAGTGATGTATTGAGAGGAAGGCAATCAATTGGAGAGTAAAATAGGTACTCATCAATGATACTAGATAATGATTGTAATATGATTGAAAGTTTGCTGAAAGCTGAATGAGTCTAAACAATTCCAATAATTATGATGCCCAGAGTATTCTAGGATGATTGACCAATAATATTATAAGTATGGGGTTGTGGGAGGTTGTTAAGTTTTTAATTGAGATCATGAATCGATCGATGTTGGAACACCGTTGAAACCCGAAAGCACTGAACGACGTTTTGTCCCAATATGGAACTCCTCAGCAGTGCTCGCCCATGATCCAATACGCAGGATTTGAACCCAGGACCTTCGGTATCACGCACGAATACTCAACCTCTAGACCACTGGGCCGGCATCCGACGGTGTTAATGTCTAACTTCAACCAATCCATTATATTAAGAGACCGTCCACCATTGCCTTCAGTAAGTAACTGCCGGTTCAGCATCCGCGCGCAGGATCTAGGGTCCTGGGTTCGAGTCCCGCGCGCGGAATCGTGGATGTGCACTGCCGAGGAGTCTCATAATAGAACGGGACGGCTGTCCAGTGCTTTCAGATTTTCAATGGTGGGCTAACATCCATCGATTCATGCTCTTAACAATATTATATTTTTACAAATACTTAAATTAACAGGTTGACAGTTGTTCTACCATTCCTTAATAGTTTTCAATGATTCTGTAATGGATGATAATTTCTGGTAAAAAATGTCCCATACAAGTTCTTCAAATCTGCATGAATTATGTATTGAGTTTGATTTTATAATGTTTACTCTGTATGTATGTTGTGTGTTGATTCCACACTTCAAATTTAATTAGTCAAATGCAACATAGAACCTGACACATGTGTACATCGGTTCAAGCTATTATAACCCATTAACACAATGAAATGAAATTGTCAGTGAGAATCCCAAAGTAGTAGAGATAGTAACTATATTAATGGGAATAGAAAATGTAAAACATTAGAGAAACAATTTGAGAAGGAAATATAAATTAGGGAAATAATGAAAAGCATTTTTAAAGAATTTAAAAAATTTGAATCAAAGGCATAATGAAAATACTTGAAAATAGACTATTACTTCTTGTATTATGTGTTATTGTAAAAACAAACTTTCTTCATTGAACATATATTTGTGTTTTGAGTTTTATTTTGTTGATAACTACTGAATAACTGGCTAGTTTGACCGAATTGTTTATTTGTGTAGATTAAATATTTGAATAAATTAAATATTTTAATAATTTTAAATCATTTTAATGATAGAGGCAATATTCTTTTGTTGTTGTTGTTACTATAATTTATTTATATCAGAAGTATGAACTTAATCAGATATCACATATTTAAAAAGCAACCATACATAATTACGTCATTGTGTCGACTTTAGTATGTTGTATTTTTAGTTGTTACCAAGTTCTGTTAATTCAAATATTCACAGTTGACGCAAATAAGTACGAGTCCATGCCACTTATTCTCGTTCATTATATGCTATTTTTATTGTCACTGAAGTTCTTACATAAATTTTATATTTAAATGTTTTTCAAAAACCAAGGAGTTAATAATTATTCATAAGATATAGAAATAATTTCATTGGACAAATTCTAAAACTCACGATGTTGTGGAATTAAATTAGGAAAAGCTTAAAAGTTGAACACCGTCTTTACAATAATACATCCGACCGATGAGTCACATATAGTATGAAACAGCAATCTGATTCCACGAATAACCACAATCCATCTATTCTAACTAACTAGTTATATTTAAAACATGATAATTACTGTTTTTATTATTTAACACACATAGACATACTTTAATTTTTATTCTCTTATCATATTCTTTGTTTTAGATAGTCCAATGCCAGAATATGCAAGCGCTTCATTATTCAGTGGTACAGGAAGTGGAACAATAAGTTTAGGTCCAAATGATCTTAGAAATTCTATCATCTCAAAAACTACTTTTGATAGTTGTGATACAACGAATAAATATAAGCAATTGATGGAAACTTATTGTGTACCACAACATATGAACTCATGTTTTTGGTCATCAAATTATAATAATGATTTAAATCAGTGTCAGTTAAATTTTAATGGTATTCCTAAATTATCTACTCCTATCACAGGGACAGTACAAATGGCGGCAGCAACATCATCCGATAATACTCATAACAATACACAAAGTAGTAGTATAAATAATGAAAATCTCTCGGAGAGTTTAGATTCCAGTGGTATGTATTATTTAACACATAAAAAACATAACAACGATGATAATAATAATGATAACATTTCTCCTAATTTAATTCATCAAAATCCTGCAGTGTTTTTACCGTTTACTGCTGGTGGTGGTACTTCACCGGCAGCAACAGCAGCAGCACCGCAACAACAACCACCACCACTGGGAACACACTTAATACCGATTCGAACAGTCGGCTTACGATCTGGCAGTGGTATTGCTAGTGGTGGAATTATATTAGCGAATAGAGATAATTCAATATCCAACATTCATTATCAATCTGCTCTGACTACTACTACTCCTGCTAGTCCAAATCACTTCCATCATCACCATGGTGACGAGAATATGAAAGATTTAAACAATTTTACAATACAACAAACAACCACTATCACCCCAAATAGGTAGAAAAAGTTTTTCCTATATTTCTTAAATAATCAGAAAATTTTCTATTGTTAACCAATCATGTGTTGTTATTACGGCTGGAGTTTCCCCTAATTTCTATTTTAATCATTTTTTGTTTGATTCAGCATATAAATGATAAAATTTGAAAAGTCAATATACATATGCATGGTTCAATATTCAATTGTTATATTGTTCTCTTTGTGAATACATCCACTTTTTTGATTGATTTGACAAAATTCTAATTTGTTTTCCCTGTGATGATTATAGTTCTATTATCATTATCATTATTGTTATGAAGATATTTAACGCATACACACACACACACACATGGGAGTCGTAAAACAATATATAATTGAGTGTAATCTCGTATTATTATTTGTATAATGATTACTAAAAAACTAAGTTTTACCGTCGTTTTGTTGTGCTTTTGGCTCTCCAGAAAATCTTTTCTAACTTGTAAACACCATTTATTGAAGTTTTTTTTTCTTATCAAATGTGTGATACATAATGAAATTAATCAACAAATCAAGTCCTTTAGATTGCGCTTTCTGTTGTTTGTGTACTTGTTTATTGAATGATCAGTTAGTTCAACGAACGATATAATTGTGTAAATCTTGTTAAAATATCAACAACGGTAATAATAATAATATCTTCATATCAAAAGTGCACTCATGTATTTATGATGCCCTCCTCCCAAAAAGTAGTCATGTAATTTATGTTCATATCCAATAACTGGTTGGATGTATATGTTTTGGTCATGTACATTTCATACTCAATCACATTCATTATCCTATATTATTATGCAATCTTTATATATGTATACGTTTATACAATTAGAGTTGTTCTATTTACGACTACCGAGTTGGGTTTTTTTTAAAATTTTAATTATAATGTGAACAGACCAATTAAGTTTCATGAAACAACGAACTTTTGAAGGTGTTATATAATAATCTTTAATTACTGAAATTTTTGTTTACCTTTTCTCTTCTGTTTTTTCTTACACACAGATGGAGGAGAGTAGGTGTAGATTGAATCGACTAATACTATTATTAATTCCCACTGTTTATATTGTACTCCTGGGTTTTTCTTTCTAGATTCATTTCTATTTCAGATTCATTTTTATGCCTAAAGAATATATGTAGGTGAGGCAGACCAGTTTACTATCATCTCATTACATACTAAATTATTTTCACTCCCTTCTTTCTTGACTAGTCACTTTTATTCTTCACTATCATCGTGAAGCGTTATTTGTCAATGATTTCTTCATTAAGAATAAACCAAATAGTTATGGTTATCTGATACATTTTGTTCAGTTTCGCCCTGTGTAATTTCTCCTGTTAACTTCGTCTTATCTGTTTGTTTTCTGTTTTATTTCTATGGCTATTGTTATCGTCCTATCCAGTCATTATCATTGTTTTTTTCTCTGCTACCCGCCTCCTTTATGGTCTTTTTCTCTATGAAATTTCAAACATATGAATAAATATTTCATTGAGCGCCTTGATTTGTTATATGAATTTATTTATATATCTATATATAGACATACATTCATACGTACACATGTTCATATTTGATATTTGTATGTTTATTTATTTATATTATCTTTCTTTCTTTTCTCAAAAGTAATAAGCAACAAATAAACACATTTACTTGTTGACAGATTTTTTTCCCGTTTCACTTTTCTTCTTACACCGTCCTCTTTGTTTTATTATCTTCTTGGCTTTTTGTGACGAACACACACTCACACATGGAACAGTCTATGGCTTTTTTATTTGTATGCGAGAATTTGAAGGCTGTTATTGATTTATATTATTATAATTATTATTGTTACTATTATTACTATTATTATTCTGATTAAGTCAATCGGGATCAGTATTGTATTATTCCTTTGTACATTGTTTACTAAAATAAATTCTTGTAGTAAAATGAATTTCAATCTTTTGATAAAAATCAAATATAAGACATATTTTCTGTATATTGTTAGGGTGGTTTGAAGTCGGGGGGAAAGGTTTGGACGTAGTTTTTCGTACTGGTTGATACTTTTTAGCTAAGTACAGGCATTCGGAATCTTGATGAAACTAATACTGTCGATAAAATATGAAGTCGTGTCACCCAGTTTCATGGTTTCAAATGAATTATAGCAGTATAAAAAACTTGATCGAACAAATATTTACTAGGTTATAACTCGATGATCAATTTATGTGGACATAGTAATCCTATAAGGGGTCACTTGTGACCTGGACTTCCTGGTAGTAACTTCATTGATATGGATTCACATGTCAACAAAGATACGGCCTAGGTCAACCAGCCAGGCCCTTGGGTTATTAACTACAACCACTTAGCACCAGATCAATAATTCTTTATGCAATATTTGTTTAAGTTCCATTAGTTACTAACTGTTTGAGTCGTGAACATTTGTTCAGATGAAAATCAATTTATTGGCAAGCTTCAACTCATCATTAAATCCAAGGATATGTTCAAAAATGTGAAAAAACGGTGTTGTTTCATTTTTTCTTAGGTAATCTGTCACATTTTTAAAAATCCGAATCCAGTTATTTCAGAGAAGTTAGGTAGGAATGATACGAGTTGACTTCAAGCATCAAATTCTCATGTATATATGTATAATTTAAGGCCCCAAGATATTTATTTTCTAAGACTATATGTTCTATGTGGTATTCATAAAACTGAAAAGCCTTTACACTTTATTGGTGAATAATTCTATCTGATTACAAGCTCACCCGAAAGCTTGTTTCACTAAATAAGCCTGTCAATAAAGAAGTTAATGTATACATTTTTATTTTGTTATTAGGATATTGGGTACCAGTATATTCATGAATAATATAACTTTTTCAATGTGGAGTCCTTATTTACGTATGTTCTATTTGAGGAGATCACATAAATGCTGATAAGATTGGTTTTATGTAAACAAAACTAGACAATTTATTATCTTTACAGATGAAAAATGTCTAACTATATTTTGATCGGAAATAGTACTAGTAAATAGATGTGTAGTTATGATCAGTTCATCAAGTGTGAAATTCTTTTCAAAAGATACAACTGAAAAATAAATACAAATTCATGTGACGTTCTTCAGTGATTCTTTTATCACATGTGAGTCATTTGAGACTAATCAAATAAGTTTTTTCAGTTCATTTAAAAATGATTTGTTAAGATGAGTTTTAGAGATTTACGTATCACATAAAATGATGATTCAACTTGACTTCCTATAAAACAAAAAATTTATTTCACTGATTGAAATCATGGTTCAGTTGAAGCCATGGAAAGCCTGGAAGCACTGGACGGCCGTTTCGTCCTAGTATGAGGTTCTTCAGCAGTGCTCATCTGCGATCACGCACCCCGCGAGATCCGAACCCAGGACGTATCAGTCTCTCGCCAGGTCTAGCTTCAATTGATTCATGATTTCATCCAGTGAAATTGTCTGGGTCAATATCTACCGTGCAAAATTGTATTGAGAGCAACCACACAAATACTAAAGTAACTTCAGTAGACGATGGGTATTCAATAAAAGTGAATTTATAAATATTAACTGGAAGAAATATACTAGTTAAACCTCCACTTTGAAGCGGTCGACTTGAACTCTCAGAACAATTGTTAGCTCATTGAATAACATTGTACTGACTTATTGCTAAGTTGGTCATTTCATATAGGATGGAGTACAAGAGGTAATATCCAGTTTAATTAACTTGTTATATTGTACTTGTAACAATCAGTACATTAGAACAATAGACAGAAACTCATATAAATAAGTCTTTGAACACAAACAAAATAAATTTGATGATCACCTCCGAATAGTTATCAATGTTGTTAACAGATCTATCATTTATATAGGTCGTTTAACTTATTTAACTTACGCCTGTTACCCTTCGTGGGGGAGCATAAGCCACTCACTAGCATTCTCCATCCAACTCTGTCCTGGACATTCTTTTCCAGTTGGTTCCAATTGATATTCATTCTTTTGATGTCTGACTCTAGTTCCCGACACAATGTGTCACTCGATCTTCTTCTTTCCCTTTGCCAATCAGGATTCAAAGTTAACTGTTGCTCGTGATGCAAATTGATGATTTCCGTAATGTGTGTCCTATCCACTTACAACGTCTTTTGTTAATTTTTCCTTCAGATGGAATCTAGTTTGTTCTCTCACATACTAGTCTGTTACTGATAGTATCGGGCCAACGGAAATTCAGTATATTTCGGTGACAATTGTTTATACATACTTGTACTTATTTGATGAATTTTGTGATGGTTCTCCGAATTTCAAGTGCGTACGGTAGGACTGTGTTGACGTTGATATTGAATATTGTGAGTTTGAAGTTTTGTTTTAGAGAGTTGTTTTTATTTCCATATGTTGTTCAAGTGTAGGAATGCAGTGGTTGCTTTGCCGATCTCACCTTTACGTCTGCATCAGATCCTCCCAAATCATCCTTAATAGAACGTGGAGCATGTCTTTAATTACTTCTATGTGTGACTTCAGTGCTTCCGTTGGTGTATTGTCATGTCCTACAGCTTTCTCACTTTTGATTTGTCTGTTGGCCATCCCGATTTCTCCGATCATTGGTGTAGTGACATCTTTCGGAAGGTCAGCGTGCTGCTTCGATGTCCAGTGGATTCGATGAAGCTGGCCTATTCACGAGTTCCTTGAATAATTCTACTCATTGCTTGTTATGTCCTCCACGTATTTCTGCTTGTTAGTTCTAATGCTACTCTTCACTCGCTCGTTTGCTTCTGTGTATTGAGCTTGTGCCTTGACTTTCTCTGTTCTCGTTCGGAGAAGTCGTGACCAGTAGAGTTCAACTGTGTTGGGTATGATACTGTTACCCATTGAAAATAATGAAAGATGGTCGCCCAATATAATCGACTGGTTAGAATTAAACGTTAACACCGTTAGATCTGGGCTCAGTGGTCTAGAGGTTGAGCGTTCGCGCGCAAGATCGAATTTTCTGGACTCGAATCGCGCGTTCGCGATCGTGGATGAGCACAGCTGAGGA